GCCGCCACCACAACTGGGGCCTGGGCCCCCCTGGGGGCTGCAGAACCCATTAACACCGCAGAGAAACCAGGACCTGCCCTGGAGCCATGGCCCTGCCTTCTGGTGTGCTCCTGTGGTCAACGTGAGGCTTCTCCATCCCAACCCCAGCCAAGGGCAGCAGATACAGGAGAGCTGAAAACCCTGGTCCTGTCCCTGCCCGAGATGCTGCTGCCCTCAACCTGTGAAAGGAGCCCGGAAAGGAGCTCCCAAAAGGATCAGTGCCCGTCGTACAGGGGATGGAGTAACTCATCTCCCACCGCCTACCACGAGCCCGCCTGAAGCACCCTGTGCCACCGGCTCCCTGTCCACGCCAGGAGTTGGTCAAATTCCCCCTCATCCCCCAGGAAAGCCGTCAGTGCTGAGACCCGGGTGCGGGCAGGGGGAACCAGTCCCCCGGGGTAAGTTGGGGGCCCGTGACTGCTGGGGGCAGAGGTCTTGGTGCCAGACTGGAGATTTGCACGGTGCCCTTCCCTCGGTGCAGGGCACTCCTCCCCACTCTTCCCGGGGATGCAGCAAGGGGTTAAGCGCGCGGCTTCGCGTTGGGTTTGTTTCTCTTGCTCTTTAACCTGCTCCGTGCTCCTTGAGGCTGACCCCGCCATGGAGAAGCCAGGCCTGGTGCAGAAGCACAAACAAGCCTCCCCTTTGAAGCCTGTTTAGCTTGGAAGCAGGAAGGCGGATTTCGGGAGGGAATACCAGCTTTTCCTGTTTGATGTTCCGTTCTTGCACGGCTCCCCCCACCCCGGGCCCAGCCGTGCATTGTGTGGAAATGGCAGCATCAGGTCGGTAGCAAGAAGAGTCGCCGGCCAGCGAAGAGCAAAGCAGCTCCATGCAGCTTTAATTTGAATACCCAGACAGTGAGTGCCAGTCTCACCATGGAACAGAGCGATCACGCAGGCTCCCCGGGCAGTGATTCACAGCACTGGGGAGAGGCCTCAGACCCCAAGCTCTTTCCCCGAACCCCCAAGGAATGCATAGTTCCCACTTGAACTCAGGACTTGGCTCCAGGCTCGGAAACAATCTCCAGAAACGAAGCCACGGCTAAAACACACACTGTGCGCGCGGAGGCTCCCTCGCACACACGTGCACACCAGCTCTCTCACACGCACGCGCGCTCGCTCTGCAATGGAGCAGCTCTTCCAGCAGCCCCAGTGCCGGAGGGTGGGTCCCTCTTGGGGCTTTACTGGGGTCCCTCGAGCTTCCGCTGGGCTCGGGGGGCCGCAGTGGCTGGGTATCCTGGCTGCTTGGCAGCAGTACAGGAGGGTCTAAGGCTTGATGGGCTCCAGTGAAGGCAAACACGCTGGGAATCTGCCTGATCCCAGGCTCAGGCTCATCTCGAGCAGCATGTGTCAGGACAGATGTGCGAACCCAGATGGGTGAGGTGTTGGAGAGCGTGTCCTCTGCCATGAGCCTGGGGCTGCAGCTTCAGGTGGGGAAAATAGGGCCGGGATTTGCGCAGGAAACGGTGCTGGAGTGGGAACCGCCTACTCCCACGCATGACCCGGTTCCCACCTGTAGCCCTGCGGCAGAGGGCGGCAGCTTTTCGTGTCTGGAAGTGAGTACCGGGAGCGAGGAGACGCGGAGGCAGGCAGTGCGGTGTGAGGCAGGCGGCATGGTGCTGCTGGCTGTCGCTGTGCTCCGAGGGCGGAGCGGGCTGCAGGAGGCTGTGTATTTCCAACACCCTCGGGCACCGAGGTGCCCTCCCAGCGTTTCGCAGAGCAGAGCGAGATGCCCTTAGGGAGCATTACTTGCCCCTGCGAGGTGCCTGCGCTCTCGGGCTGAGCCAGGTGACCCACGGAGGTGGGAGGCAGCAAAGCTTTTCCAGACTTGCAGCCAAGTCCAGGAGTGCAGGGACACTGTGGCAGCTGAACCTGATTTCCTGAGCCAGCTCCCAGTGCCCTGGCCCCAAGGCCTTGGCAGCTTGCGTGCTCCAGCAGCAGGTCATGGGAGCACCTTGTCCCACAGTAACTGTACCTCCTCTTCCTGTTTGAAGTGATAAACGAGCTGGACGGCCTGGCCAAGGGCCCGGAGATGGAGCACCGGGCCGCAGTCTATGCCCGCCAAGTGCAGGAGAGAGCCAGGAAGTCCATCGAGTTCCTGGAGGAGCGATTCGAGAGCCGGGACAACTGCTTGAGGGCTCTGACCAGCCGAGGCAACGAGCTGGAGTCCATCTCCTTCCGCAGCGAAGACACCACTGGCCAGCAGGTAAGGGACATCCCGGCCCCGGGAGGACGGGACGCAGAGGTAGTGATGCCCATTGTTGGAGCCTCCTTGGGGGAAATGAGGGACCCTGGGCTCTGCGAGCGCTGGGCAGGGGGCAGCTCTGTCCCCACCTTTGCATGCTCCTGTGGGCTGCACGTGTTTTGGCTCCAAGCAGCCCTGCTCTCCGCTGAGCTGTGGCAGCGTCTCAAGGGCAGTGCAGATATCAGGGTGGTGGGGTTGCAGGGTTTTTTTTCCTGCCGGGGGTACCGTTGCCCTTTTCTTCCAGGGAAACAATGATGACCTGATCCTGTCCTGCTGCCTCCACTATTGCAATGACAAGGCCAAGGATTTCATGCCTTCCAACAAAGGTAGGACATCCTCACGTCCGCCTTGTCTCTTCTCTATTTCATCCCACGGACCCTTCTCATTGCTCTTTCCTGGCCCCTGGAGCCGATCCCTCCCGCGTTTTGCCTCTTTTGACACCAAGGTGCCACCTCTTGCCTCCGGTCAGCCCCAGGCTGTGACCCTCTCACGTGTTGCCAAACGCTCTCCTCACTGTGCCAGGGACGCCCCAGCCTGTGCGAAACCCACCGTAAATGTCCACAGAGCCCTTTCATGGTGCCAGCACTGGTGACGAAGGGCCAGAACGAGCCTTCTCCCCACAAGCCTCAGCGCCTCTTGGCCATGGCACTTTTCCCTCCAGATGCCCCGTTGGCATCGGCCATGCATGCCGGGAGCAGACAGCCCCCGGGCTGTTGCCAGGGCGGTGGGGATGGGAATCGCATCAGCAGCTGCCCAAGAAATCAACCCGCATTTGTCAGCGTGAATTCTTAGCAGCTTAACTTGTCAGATTCACAGAGAAACCGTCACCAAATGTTTATGTGCAAATGATGCTGAATTTTGAAATCATGTGGATTATGGGGAATGGGGCCTGACAAGCTGACAGCCTCTGGTTTGTAACAAGGAGGCGCGTCACCAGCGCGGAGCAGAGGATGTTTATTGTTACACATTTCTTAAAGTGTCCGCGCAAAACCCTCCGATCCCGCTTTCGGCAGCCTTCGGCCCCAGGCATGCCCTCCCACCGAGCCCCCGCTCCTCTTCCTCCTGGCACGGGCCGGCTGGGGCATTTGCCCCACCATCCTCAGCCCCGACACCGTGACCATAGCCCGCGTTCCTGGCCACCCTCCCCTTCCCCTCGTCCTGCCGCTCCCTGCGCAGCCAATCTGGGCCCATGTTGGGCTCCCATAAACTCTGTTTTTTCCATTCCCGTCCTGGCTCGGAGGCACTGTGTTTCCTGTGCTCATAGGAACAGTACTCTGGTCACAGGACCCAGCTGCTTACACATACCCCATATGCTTCCCCTGCTTCGCACACACGTAAGCGTGGCTCCCACATCCCAGCCCGGCGCGTTGCGTGCGGGGCAGCTCATCCATCTGGGGGCAAGATCCCTTCGGTTATTTCTCAGGCTTCAACTTTCTTGGGCTGTCTGAGCCCCAGCCAGAAACGCCTCGGTGTCGCTGGCGACTCCAAAAAGCTTCGCAAAAAAAATTAAGGGGTGGTTTTAGATCTTATAATGAGATCACCAGAATAATAGCACCAGCTTCCTGCTGGAGCCAGGGTCGCGCGCTGTCTTCCTGGCCTGGGTCAGGCAGAGGGACCTCCTCTTCCCTGCCTGCGGCATGGCGCACCGCGCCAT